AGCGCTCAACAGATATTTATTACATTAACAAATGAGAGCCCATTTCCCCATCTTTGAGTCTTACCTGAATGATTCCTGAAAGTAAGGTCACAGACATGGCGACTTTCACTCTCAAGGCATCTCTGGCTTCTGTGCCATTGGTTGCATTTACTCCTCCCGGAATGACTATATCATCTGGTACTAATCGAACAGCCACACCACCAATCATCAGGCTAATAACTGCAAAAGGACCTGGAATAATGAAGCATGAATGATGCCTGTTCAGGGGTCCAAGGAAACTACCTTCAGAGTATCTGATGTGGTTGCTGCCAGTACGTCAGGGGACACAGGTGAGGTCAATAGCTGTTCTTGAAAGAAGACTGCACTGCCCTCCTGCAGTATCCTGCCTCTGTGTGTGTGTAGGCAACTGTGTGTGCAGACTGTATTTTCCAAAAATGACCACAACAATATCTTCCAAGCCACATACTCTGCTTGACATTTCCCTATCAAGAGGTGGAGTCTAATTCCTCTCCCCTTGAGTCTGGATGCGCTTGTGACTTGTTAATAACCAAAAAAAAAAAAATGTAGTGGAAGTGACACTGTGTGACTTCTGAGGCTAGGTAATAAAATGTGATGAAGCTTACACCTGGGAGTTGTAATAATTGGGCTGGAGCCCTGAACCCAGGTGTAAGAAAGCTCCAACTAGGCCACATGGAGAATTCCTGGGACTCCATGGAGAGAGGAAGAAAGAAGAGAGGATAGAAGGTAAAAGAAGGGAGGGAGAAGTCCAGACTAGCACTTCCCAAATCATGACCTGCAGGAACTGTGAGAGATAATACAATGATTGTTGTTTTAAGTCGCCAAATTTTGGAGGTATTTGTTACCCAGCAATAGATATCTGAAACATTGTGTGCGTGTTTGATGGTGGTAGCCACATGTAGCACCAACACTATTATGAAATCCATATGCATCTGATAAACTAAAGAGAAAACAAGTACAATTCAGAGACTAAAACATGATGAAAATGAAATACATGCATAGTAATTAGGAACTTGAAGTACTACTATTAAAATTAAAATCAGATGCAAGTTATATTAAGAAATAAAGCATTTATCTCATTTTACAGATTTCAAAAATTGCTCTTTTCCACAAGAAAATGGTCTTTTTTAAAAATTATCGCAAGATAATAAGAAAGTCATAAGTTCTAGAAATCTTAGGAGGGATGTATTTTTTTTAAAGCACCTATTGTGTATACAGTAACAAAAGTTATTGAGATTTTTAATAACAACCATGCTATTTCTTTGGCACATTGCAAATCTTGGAAATCCAAAAGAAAAGGTACTAGAATATCAAGTATAAGCTTTTACCTATGGATATGTGTCTGGAGGTTCCAAAAAAACAATACATGATGACAGGATAAAATGAGGAGTATAGGCCAAATACTGGAGGTACGGCTGCCAGCATTGCGAAGGCTAAGCCTGTGGGATGAGACCAAATAGAAATGGGGAGATCATTAGAAAATAGATGGGTTGCATGTATTTTTCTTTTGGTTCTTTACCTCTGATGAACAAGCAAAACCTGCCTTTCTTCCACCCCAACCCTGCATATAATCCTACATTGGTGCTTGCAGAGTCCAAGCTGAGACAGTTTTCCTTGTCTTCTCCTTTTTGCCAGTGGGTGGATTTTTTTCTGCTTTATTCTTTGGCAAAATAGATAA